TGGTCCTCTAACAAGTCGTAGGTGAGCGGTAGTGGGCATGTGGTGCACGCATTAGCGTGCGTAGCCCAACCGGTTAATCAGATAACATTTACTTTAATATGTCTATTGGCTGGTCTCAAAGTTTTCTCCTAGCCTTTCAGAGCATTTTGAATGCAAAATAGTGTCGTTTACATATTATGACATATATGCTTACGCCTTTCACGGTTCGTCCCGGCAGCCCTAGAAAGCGGTGGAAATGTAGACAAAAATTTAAAAAAATTTTTTTACATGAACTATCACGCATCACCACATTGAGTGCCATAACTTGAAGAGCATCGACAATTTCAATAGTTAGCATGTCGAGAATGGCGAATGGTGTTCCCCATGCACCTTGCGATTGTAGCCCCACCCTCCACCACCACCCCCTCTCCACCGCGTCCTGCTACCTGAAGTGGCATTAGAATTCTATCCTTGCATGTGAAACGTTTCAAGAAATAACGATGCTAGCGAGGAGGTTGACGACCCACTTTGATTTGCCTACACTTCCTTTTTGTGGCAGGACGGCCTTGCGAAATCTTGACGCACGATAGAGGAAGTTAATGTCGGAGAATCCACTCGCAATGTCTTGGATTCGGGTCGTTAGAGATGATGTAGTCTATTTAGAGTTTACATTAGCACCTCAAAATATGGTCTCTCCTTTTTTGAATGTGTGTCTACTGATGCTCACAAAACAAGTGTTATCTGCTGCCCTTCCTGACCATTGTTTGAAAACAGCAAAGGAGCTGTGAAATGAGGAAACACGTCCTCTGAACTGACTCCCAGCTAGTACTATAAGAGAGCTCTAGTCAACAGTGACATTTTTTTCCAACTGGAGTTGAGTCACTGGAAGTACATGGGAACTCCGATCATAAGGCTCAGCTAACTTGATTCATTCAAAATGCTTTTCTTCGAAAAATGACACTAAATACTGTCCGCCATAACTTTCTATAACTTTCTAGACTTACTATCGAAACGCTATCTGTGTTGACTACACGAACTACGCTCAGTTGGCCTGTGATGAGTAAACACTTCATTAAGGTCTATTATGGCTAGCTCCTGAACATCTGCGATCTCCGGAGACCTCGGTGAAAAAGTCCAAGGAGGGTGACATATATTCTTTTGCTATTATCGCCTCTGAGGTCGTAACGCGGAAAGCGGCATGGAACTTGAATGAACGAAAAGAACGAATTGATGGTCAGACAATGAGTTTCCAAGTGTTTTTTACACCTCCATCTTATTATTTCAGAACTGCTTTATATGTTGAAAAAGGGAGGACCTGCACCACCTCGACCAGAGCTCAACGTTGACGGCGACATCAATGTGGCGGTGGTAAATATTTCCTCATTTATGAGCATAAGCCTCTGTTCGATGGTGCTGAGGAATAACGTTCGATACCACTTGATAAGTAGATATCTTGGTGAGATCGATCATTTCCCGTATGAACCTCTGTGCTGCGGAAATTGGTTGAGCAATTGATCCCACGAGAAAACAGGGCCTGGACTGCTTACTACTTATCAGAGTGTACCAAATAGTAACTGTACCGCGACTATTATGGGAATTTTTGGTTCGAGACTGTATTAATACACGCGCAACTCATCAGCTTCCTTCCGCATAAGAAATACTTCAAATACGACCTAGGAGAAAAACTATTTCGCTCAAAAAAATCAAAAACTATTTCACGGAAGAATAGTGCTCACGTGGTTCATCGGAACGTTATGGAAAAGCAGCAAGAATTTAAAAGGTAATACCTATTCTCTCTGTACTCATAGACAAAGCAATGGGGGAGCTGGTATTTCACCCTTTTTCCAAAGTTTGACTGCGATCCTTTAAAGCGAGCCACTAATGCTCTTGCCGGATACATTTTGAATTAGCAACGATCAGGGAACCTACCGCTGCCATCAAGCATACATAGTGAATTCCCAGTTTAAGTCGTACGCCACATTAGCGAATAAATCTGACCTTCCCACACGACCACCCGACCGAAGAGCAGTGGAGTGACCAGAAGTATATCTTTTGAAGTCAAATGTTGACTGAGAGATAGTGAACGCTAAATTTGCAACGATTCAGGAGAGGCGATCTAGGTTCAGTGTCAAGACATTTTTTGTAGCTTCACCTTATACGCGACTGCTGGAACGAAAGACCGACGGACCGCCCAAACTGTGAAACTTTGTGCAATATGTTAAAGGTAGTAGCATTGCTCTAGCCACAGGAGATAGCATATGGCATTTGTGGGGAAAAGACTTAAGAAATGAGACTTCTTTAAAGACGATGATGCCGGACAAGAAGTCCAATTTGATGGATCATATGTTCAACATGTTGGAAGACTACACCACTACACTTGAATTGGATGTCGAAGAACGAACAAAGCAGTTGCATGAGGAAAAGAAGAAGGCTGACATTCTTTTGGGAAAGATGCTGCCTAGGTGAGAAGGAACTGCCTCTTTTAAATCCCTCTACGCACTTTAAAAGTTTGTTATCGGAAAACTACATTACTTATTCACTAACAGAAGGTACGATAATTTTGCTGTTGGTGAAAAATAGGCCTAGGGATGGTAGATGTTAGTCAAGAAGCAGAAAAACTTAGAAGAAATGTGGGAACTCTAGAATTAACTCTTCTACTTAAAAGGCACGGTTCACGATAAAAGTGATTTATGGGTTCCCCATAGGATAAATTTGAGGTGCCCTCGAATACCATATCTGGCTCTATTAGGCAAGTCAGGGCGTTATAAAGGCTCAAAGATTGTACCGTGTATATCCTCGGACGAGCATTGTGGAGGCCGCGCCGAACACAAGGAAGCCAATGTGGGAAGTTTAAACAACTTGTCATCACCCAGCTTCACCCATAGCGGCAGTGAAAGGCAGTTCTGTACACTTTTTGCTTGATGTGTTCAGCCCTTTGCACAATTTCAACAGCTGACATCTCGTTCGAATACCCCTTCCATGTTACTTCCATCATCCGTCCAAGCTTTATTTTCCCTACTTTTAAGGAGCCATATTTTTCTCAAAATCGGCGAATTTCCTCGCTTTTTTTACTAATGATGGATTATTCTCAACCTATACTTCCGCCTCCGGATAACTCAAAATTATCGTGAACTGTGCCTTTGAACTGAGATGTCTGAGCGATGGTAGGCGGTTTGTACCTCTATTTTGGTGATGAGACGGAGAAATTGTTGGAGAAACAGAAAGAGTAAAGAAGATTTGAGTCGCCAGACATTACTGAGTCGGTTTTTGGCATAATAGCTTGCCACTTAATCCCTTTCCGAAAAAGTGTTGTACGTTATCAAATGTGGCGGGATGCTCGTTGCACTTACAATCAGTTCAAGGCTATCGTCACTGCTCTTTCAGTCCCTGAACACCTAATTTTTGTAATTTCTCTCTATGAAAGTCCCTCAACGTGACCCATATTTTGTTATTATTTCAATGAAACATGTCCAGGCAAGTGGCTGATCGCTTGAAACTAGGACAAGCAGTGGAACCAGAGAGTTTCGATAGCGTCACAGTGTTTTTTTCCGATGTGGTCAAGTTTACTCAACTGGCTGCTAAATGCACAGCTTTTCAAGTATGGTGGACCATTTTGGGTTGTGCCTGCAATGCTTTGTCATTTCTCGTCCTCATTACAGGTTGTGAATCTTCTCAACGATCTCTACAACGGATTCGACTCAATCATTGAGGAGCACTCTGTATACAAGGTAATGGCTTTCATTTATTTATTTTATTTATTTATTTATCATATACGCCATATAGG